GGATTTTCCGATTTTTCACCTTTTCGATTTTTCGATTCTTCGGTTTTTTTAACTCTTCTAAAACAAAAGTGGGTAAGTCGAAAACTCAAAAATCGAAATTCCAAAAATGAAAACTCCAAAAATCCAAAATTCGAGAAATCGAAGAGTAATCAAAAAGTCGAAAAATTCAAAAATCCAAAAATTGAGAAATAGAAATGTAAAACAAAAAATTGAAAATTATAAAAATGAGAAAGTCGAAAAATACAAAAATTTAGAAATCGAAACATCGAAAACTCCAAAAATTGAAAAATGGAAATTCAAAAATTGAGAAATGGAAAAATCGAAAACTGGGAAAGTGGAAAAATCGAAAAGTCGAAAGTTCGAGAAATTGAAAAATCAAAAATCGAAAAGTCAAAAATAGGAAAATCCATTATCGAGAAATCGAAAAGCCAAAAATACAAAAAATTGAAAAATTCAAAAATGGCAACGGCGAAAGTCCAAAAATCGCAATATCGAAAATAAATATAAATAAATTGAAATATCTAATATCAAGAAAACGAAAAGTAAAAAAGTAGAACTCGAAGAATCGAAAAATCTAAAGATCTAAATTCGAAAATTAAGAAATCCAAAATTAGAAAAATCGAAGTTTAAATATCGAAAAATTCAAAACCAGGAAAGTCGAAAAATCCAAAAATTGAAAATCGGAAAACTCTAAAAATTGAAAAAAAAGTCGAAAAATCCAGAATTGAAAAATCGAAAGGTCGAAAAATCAAAAACCCAAAAGTCCAAAAATTGATAGATTAAATACCGAAGTCAAAAAATTCAAAAAACAAAAGTGAGTAAGTCGAAAACTCAAAAATCCAAATTCTAAAAATGAAAACTCCAAGAGAGACGTTTCGATTTTTGGATTTTTCGGCTTTTCAATTTTGAATTTTTTTTATTTTTTATTTTCTCGATTTTTAGAGTTTTAGATTTTCCGACTTTTCGACTTTTTGATTTCTTGGCTTCCCAGTTTTTAGAATCTTCGATTTTTGGGTTTTTAGACTTTTGGTTTCTTCAATTTTTGAGTTTACTGATTTTTCAACTGCTCGATTTTGGGATTTTTGGATTTTCCGATTTTTCACCTTTTCAGTTTTTCGATTCTTCGGTTTTTTGACTCTTCGAATTTGCGACTCCATTTTTCAATCTCTCGATTTTTAGACCTTTCGATTTTTCAATTTCTGAATTTTTTGACTTTTTGATTTCTCGAAATTTGAATTTTTGGTTTTTCCATTCTTCGATTTTTTGCCTTCTCAAGTTCTCAGTTTTAGATTTTTCGATTGACTAGATTCTTAGATATTTCGACCTGATTTTTCAATTTCCCGTATTTTAGATATTTAGATTTTTCAATTTTTCGACTTTTTTTTATTTTTCGATTTTTTAATTTTTTGTTATTCTAGTTTTTCGATTTTTCAACTTTTCTAATCAAAAAAATGAAAAAAATAGCAATATCGTAAAAATAGAAATTCAAAAATGAAAAAACGAAAACTTGTGATATAAAATCGACAAAATGGAAGAATAAAAAAAAATGGAAAACTGAAAATCGAAAATTGCGAAATTGTAATTTCGAAAAATTGCAAAATTGAAAAATTAAAAGTCGAAAAAGTGAAAAATCAAAACATTGAACATTTTGAAAATCACGAAATTGAAAAATTGATCTTAATAAATAAATTCAGATTTTCCGAAAAATTATAAGATTTCGTTTCTTCGATTTCCGAGTTTTGAATTTTTCCATTTTTCGACTTTTTTACTTTTCGAACCAAACGAATGAAAAAAATTGCAAAACTGTATAATCGAAAAATCAAAAATGAAAAAGTATAAAAGGAAAACTTAAAAAAACTGCAAAATCGGAAAACCGAAATATTGTGAAATCGAAGTATTGAAAATTAAAGAAATCGGAAAATCGAAGACTGACAATTTCAAAAGCATTGAGAAATGGAAGAAAATAAAAAAACGGAAAATTGTGATTTCATCCAAATATTGTAAAATAAAAGAAAAAAGAAAAATAATTTGATAAAAAAATTGTCGAAGGGAAATAAATTCGAAGCTTAAAAAATGAAAGAATTCGTCGATTTTTGACTTTTCGATTTTTTCAGATTTAAAATTACCGATTTTTCAACTTCTTCAGTTCTTCGATTTGCAATTTTTCGATTTTTAACTTTTCGAATCAAAAAAATGGAACTGCAAAATTTTAAAACTGAAAAATCAAAAATGAAAAAACGTAAAAATTGAAAATCAAAAACTTGCCAAATTGAGCAATCGAAAAATTGAAAAATCAAAATGATTAAAAGCTGAGAAACTTCAAAATCGAAAAATGCAAAAATTTTGAAAATTAAAGAAATCTGAAAATGGGATAATTGAGAAATCCAACAATTGCAAAATTGAAAAATCGAGAAATCGAAGCATAAAAAAATGGAAAAACTTAAATAACCAGAAATTGAAACGTTACAAAAATTGAAATATTGAAAAATTGATACATTAAAAAAATAAAAGAAATGGAAAAGCGAAAACTCTGATATAAAACCAGAAAAATGAAAATTCAAAATCGAGAAAATGAAAAGCAAAAGTCAAGAGGAAACGAAAAACTGGAAAATGAAAATTGTAATATTGAAAAATTGCAAATCGAAAAATTGAACAAACGGAAACTTATGAAAGCGAAACATTGAAAAATGGAGAAATTGAACAATGGAAGAAATCGATATCGATGAAAAAAAAAACCGAAAAATTGTGGTGTAAAAAAATTAACCGAAATTGAAAAATCGAAAAATTAAAACTTAAGAAATTAAAAATGGAAAAATCGAAATACTAAAAATCGGGGAAATCGGAAAATTGTATAATTAAGAACTCCAAAAATTGCAAACTTGAAAAATTTCAAAATTGGAAAATCGAGGGACTGAAAAATCAAAGTTTGAAAATTTGAAAATTTTACCACACGAAATTACCAAAATCGAAAGAACATTGAAGAAATAAAGCAAATGAAAAAACGAAAACTTGTGATATAAAATCGACAAAATGGAAAAATAAAAAAAAAATGAGAAACTGAAAATCGAAAATTGCATAACTGAAAAATTAAAAATCGAAAAAATTAAAAATTAAAGAGGAAAAACGGAAAAATTGCAAGATCAAAGCAAATAAAGAAACGAAAAATTGTAATATCAAAAAATTGGTCGTGGATAAATAAATTCAGATTTTCAGAAAAATTATAAGATTTCGTGTTTTCGATTTCCGAGTTCTAAATTTTTCCATTTTTCGACTTTTCTGTTAATTGATTTTTCAATTTCTTATGTAATTTCTAGATTTTTGGATTTTTTGATGTGATTTTTTAATTTTTCGTTTTTTCAGTTTTTTTATTTTTAATTTTTCGAAACAAACGAATGAAAAAAATTACAAAACTGTTTAATTGAAAAATCAAAAATGAAAAAATTAAAAAGTATAAAAGGAAAACTTTCAAAAATCTGAAAATTGAAAATCAAAAACTTGACAAGTTGAAGAAGCATTTAATTGAATGATTAAAATATGAGAAATTTAAAAAAAGTGCAAAATCGGAAAACCGAAATATTGTGAAATAGAAGTATTGGAAAGTAAATAAATCGGACAATTGAAGACTGAAAATTTGAAAAACATTGAGAAATGGAAGAAAATGAAAAAACGAAAAATTGTGATAAAAAACAATTGTCGAAAGGAAATAAATTCGGAGTCGATTTTTCAAGTTTCCGACTTCTAGATTTCTCGATTTTTCGACTTCCTAATTTCTGGATTCTTGGGTTTTTCGACTTTTCGATTTTTCGACTTCATTTTTCAATTCCTCGATTTTAGACTTTTCAATTTTTGAACTTATCGACTTTCTCATTTTTTAATCTTTGGATTTTTTAACTTTTCGATTTTTTCACATTTAAAATTACCGATTTCTCATCTTCTTCAGTTTTTTTCGATTTTTAACTTTTCGAATCAAAAAAATGGAACAACTGCAAAATTTTAAAACTGAAAAATCATAAATGAAAAAACGTAAAAATTTAAAATCAAAAACTTGCAAAACTGAGAAATCGAAAAATTGAAAAATCAAAATGACTAAAAATTGAGAAACTTCAAAAATTGCAAAATTGAAAAATCGAGAAATTGAAGCATAAAAAAATTGAAAAACTTAAATAACCAGAAATTGAAAAGTTACAAAAATTTAAATATTGAAAAATTGATACTGAAAAACTGAAAAATGAAAATTGTAACATAGCAAATTGAAAAATTGAAGTAACGGAAACTTATGAAAGCGAAACATTGAAAAATGGAGAAATTGAACAATGGAAGAAATCGATATCGAAGAAAAAAGAAAAACGAAAAATTGACCGAAATTGATAAATCGAAAAACTAAAACTTGAGAAATTAAAAATGGAAAAATCGAAATATTGAAAATCGGGGAAATCGGAAAATTGTATAATTAAGAACTGCAAAAATTGCAAACTTGAAAATTTTCAAAATTGGAAAATCGAGGTATGGAAAAATCAAAGTTTAAAAATTTGAAAATTTTACGACACGAAATTACAAAATCGAAAGAACGCTGAAGAAATCAAGCAAATGAAAAAACGGAAAATTGTGATGTAAATTGGAGAAAATGAGAATTAAAAATCGGGAAACAAAAAATTGAAAAACCGAAAAATTAAAAACTAAGAAACTGAAAAATCGAAAAATGAGAAATTGCAGTGTCGAAAAATTGCAAACTTGAAAAACTGAAAATCGGAAAATTGTGATATGAAAAAATGACAACAAATTTCCAGGAAAATAGAGCGACTCGGCAAAATTTAAGCCATTATTAAATCGACCGTTTTAAATTAGTCCTCGACGAACCCCCAAGACAAAATCAAACACAATCCATATTTTATTCATCCAGAAAGTGAAATTCCGACTTCTCTCAACTCGTCACGACTGTCTCCCCAGCCATCCCTCCGAATTCCTCACCTCCAACCCCGCGAAAAAGAGCCACCACTTACCTCTGCGAGCTGAGGGAGTCTCCACTCGGTTCCGCTTTATTCCCGCTGAAACACGAAAACAGAAATAAGTTAAACGTCACGCGAACAAAACGCACATCACAAACGCTTTAAATTCTTGGGAAAAATTCAATTTCCCCCAATATCGGTCCGAACTTTGCTGCGAGATGTCAATATCGCAGAATGGGGGTGTATAAACGGGGAAGGTCATGTAGTAAACACACATATTCTGAAGCAGAAGGCACTAGAATCGATCATAGTGCCGGGGAACATTCAATGAATCGGGTAAGGGTTCTTTACGACCAGATATCGCAATAAAAGAACAGCGGCATCAAGCGTATTTGCGTTGCCGGAGGAAGGCAATTTGGGACGACCTAAATTCGCCGGGACTAAATCAACTTATTTTAAATTTCGAGCCGGAATTAGAGTTTGCGTTCATTTCTGGCAGGTGCTGGGGCGTCGGGGCGGATTTGGAGCACGTTGGACGATGCACCGGAGTTTCGGTGCGGAAAATCGATTAGGTGCATGAATGGTGGAGGCGCCGGGAAGTAGTAAAAAAAATCTGTCGTAAAATTAAGGATGGTGGATGAAGTCGGGGATAAGGCTAGTGACGACAGTTGGAAACTTCATTAATGATCCACAAAGCGAACTTTTTCGGTCGCCTGGGAGGAAATAAATGTCTGAGTTAATTTTTTTGTTGTTTATTAACTTGTTTTTATTTATTTTCAGCTTTTCGAGTTTGTATGTAATTAAAGAAATTTATTTTAAAAAAGAAAACACACACTTAGAATGCGAGCGCAACGAGCATGTTCAAGTTGCCAGTCTCCGCAGCTTCAGTAATAACAAAATTGTTTTTAAAAGTAAGATTTTTTATTCAAAAAAGTTTTAAAAGTAAAAACTACAAAAAAAGTAAAAAAATCGAAAAATCAAAATATCAAGAAATTGAATAATCGAAAAGTCCAAAAAATACATTGAAAAATCTACATAGAGAAAACAAAAACAGTTGAAAAATTGAAAAATCCAAAAATAAAGAATTTGAAGTCCAAAAATTCAAAAATTGCGAAATGTAAATGTCGAAAACCCGAAAAATTGGAAAATTTAAAATCGACAATCAAAAAAGTCGATAAATGGAGAAATCGAAAAATCGAAAAGTCAAAAGAAAATCCAAAATTAGAGAAATCAAAGAGTCGAAAAATCAAAAAATAGAAAAATTCAAAAACGGGGAATTCGAAAAATCCAAAAATTCAAAATTTGCGAAATCTAAATTGAATAATCGAAAATTCGAAAAGACGAAAAATGGAAAAGTCGAAAAATCCGAAATATCAAATTGGGAAATCGAACAGTGGAAAAATCGAAGAACCGAAAAATTGAAAAATCACAAAGTCGAAAATCAAAAAATCCAAAAAAGGGGAAAACCCCAAAATCCAAAAATCTAGAAATCCAAGAATTGAAAAACTCAAAAATTTAAAAATGAGAAAGTCGAAAAATACAAAAATTTAGAAATCGAAACATCGAAAAATCCAAAAATTGAAACATGGAAATTCAAAAATTGAGAAATGGAAAAATCGTAAACTGGGAAGGTGGGAAAATCGAAAAGTCGAAAGTTCTAAAAATTGAAAAATCAAAAATCGAAAAATCGAAAAGTCAAAATCAGGAAAATCCATTATCGAAAAATCGAAAAGCTGAAAATTCGAAAAAAAGTCGAAAAATCCAAAAATCTAAAATAGGAAAAGTCTAAAAATTGAAAAAAGAAAAGTCGAAAAATCCAGAATTCAAAAATCGAAGAGTCGAAAAATCAAAAACCCAAAAGTCCAAAAATTGATCAATTAAAAACCGAAGTCATAAAATCCAAAAAACAAAAGTGGCTAAGTTGAAAACTCAAAAATCCAAATTCCAAAAATGAAAACTCCAAAAATCCAAAATTTGAGAAATCGAAGAGTAATCAAAAAGTCGAAAAATTCAAAAATCAAAAAATTGAGAAATAGAAATGTAAAACAAAAAATCGAAAATTATAAAAATGAGAAAGTCGGGAATATCCAAAAATTGAAGAATCGAAAAGTCCAAAACATAAATTGAAAAGTCTAATATTAAGAAAACGAAAAATCAAAAAAGAGAAATTGAAAAATCCAAAAATAGAAAAATTGAGTTTAAATACCGAAAAGTCGAAAAATCGAAGAAATTGAAAAATCTAAAAGCGATAATTCGAAAAGCGGAAAAATTCAAAAATTCACAAAATGCAAAAATCCAAAAAATAGAAAAATCAAACAGTCGAAAAACTGAAAAAACCAAAAATGGAGAGTTTGAAAAGTCCAAAAATTCAAAAATTGTGAAATCTAAATGTCGAAAACCCGAAAATTCGAAAAATTGGAAAATTAAAAATCGACAATCAAAGAAGTCGATAAATAGAGAAATCGAAAAATCGAAAGAGAAAATCCAAAATTAGAGAAATCAAAAAGTTGAAAAATCAAAAAAATTCAAAAATGCGGAATTCGAAAAATCCAAAAATTCAAAATTTGCGAAATCTAAATGCCGATAATCAAAAATTCGAAAAGACGAAAAATGGAAAAGTCGAAAAATCTGAAACATCAAAATTTGGGAAATCGAAGAGTAGAAAAATCGAAGAATCGAAAAATTGAAAAATCACAAAGTCGATAATCAAAAAATCCAAAAATGGAAAAACCGCAAAATCCAAAAATCTAGAAATCCAAGGGTTGAAAAACCCAAAAATTTAAAAATTGGAAACTCTAAAAATCAAGAATCTGAAAAAAAATCCAAAATCAGAGAAATCAAAAACACGAAAAACTCAAAAATCCAAAAATGGAAAAATAGAAATATCATAAAACAAAAACTCGAAAATTAAAAAAATGAGAAAGCCGAAAAGTACAAAAATTTAGAAATCGAAAAATTAAAAAATTGAAAACTGGGAAAGTGAGAATTACCAAAAATTGAAGAATCGAAAAGTCGAAAAACTAAATTGAAAAATTTAATAATAAGAAAACAAAAAGTCAAAAAAGAGAAATCGAAAAATTGAAAAAAACAAAAATCTAAAATTCGAAAACTAAAAAATCCAAAAACAGAAAAATCAAAGTTTAAATATCGAAAAGTCGAAAAATGGAAGAAATTGAAAGATCCAACAGCGATAATTCGAAAAGCGGAAAATTCAAAAATTCACAAAATGCAAAAATCCAAAAAATAGCAAAATCAAACAGTCGAAAAATTGAAAAAACCAAAAATGGGGAGTTTGAAAAGTCTAAAAATTCAAAAATTGCGAAATGTAACTGTCGAAAATCCGAAAATTCGAAAAGACGAAAAATTGGAAAATTAAAAATCGACAATCAAAGAAGTCGATAAACAGAGAAATCGAAAAATCGAAAAGTCAAAAGAAAATTAAAAATTAGAGAAATCATAAAGTCGAAAATTCAAAAAATCGAAAAATTCAAAAATGGGGAATTCGAAAAATCCAAAAATTCAAAATTTGCTAAATCTAAATCGAAAATTCGAAAAGACGACAAATGGAAAAGTCGAAAAGTCCGAAATATCAAAAATTGGGAAATCGAACAGTAGAAAAATCGAAGAACCGAAAAATCGAAAAATCACAAAGTTGATAATCAAAAAATCCAAAAATGGGAAAACCGTAAAATCCAAAAATCTAGAAATCCAAGGGTTGAAAAACCCAATAATTTTAAAATTGGAAACTCTGAAAACCGAGAATCTGAAAAAAATCCAAAATTAGAGAAATCAAAAAGACGAAAATTTCAAAAATCCAAAAATGGAAAAATAGAAATGTCATAAAACAAAAAATCGAAAATTAAAAAAATGAGAAAGTCGACAAGTACAAAAATTTAGAAATCGAAAAATCAAAAAATTTAAAACTGGGAAAGTGGGAATTTCCAAAAATTGAAGAATCGAAAAGTCGAAAAAATTAATTGAAAAATTTAATATTAAGAAAACGAAAAGTCAAAAAAGAGAAATCGAAAAATTGAAAAATCCAAAAATCTAAAATTCGAAAACTAAAAAATCCAAAAATAGAAAAATCGAAGTTTAAATATCGAAAAGTCGAAAAATGGAAGAAATTGAAAAATCTAAAAGCGATGAATCGAAAAGCGGAAAAAATCACAAATTCACAAAACGCAAAAATCCAAAAAATAGAGAAATCAAACAGTCGAAAAATTGAAAAATTCAAAAATGGGGAATTCGAAAAATACAAAAATTCAAAATTTGCGAAATCTAAATCGAATAATCGAAAATTCGAAAAGACGAAAAATGGAAAAGTCGAAAAATCGGAAATATCAAAAATTGGGAAATCGAACAGTAGAAAATTCGAAGAATCGAGTAATCAAAAAATCGAAAATTCGGAAAAATGCAAATGGAAAACCTATAAAGTCGCAAAATCCGAAAATCAAAAATCAAAAAGGTGAAAAACTCAAAATCCAAAAGCCCAAAAATTGATAAAACAAAAAGGACCAAGTCAAAATATCCAAACAAATCGTAAAGTCGAAAAATCAAAAACCCAAAAATCTAAAAATTCAAAAATCCAAAATTCGATAGTCGAAAAAAAACTGAACGTAAAGTCGAAATATTGAAAATTCTAAAATCAAAAAATCAAAAACTCGAAAACTAAAAAATTGAAAAGTCGAAGCTGAAAAATCAAAAAATTGAAACATTGGAAAGTAGAAAAGTAGGGAAATCGAAGAATTCAAAACTCGTTAAGTCGAAAAAAAGGCAAATCCAAAATGTGGGAAACCGGAAAATCAAAAAATCGTAAATGTTTAAAAATCGAAAAAATATAATTCGAAAAATTAAATGTCCAAAAATTTGATAAATCAAAACACGAAGTCAAAAATTCAATAAAAATGATAGTCAAAAAATCCAAAAATTGAAAAATTCAAAAACATAAAATTCGAAAAACGAAAAACCTTAGATGTCAGGAAATTGAAAAATCAATTAGTCGAAAAATCTAAATTCGAAAAACCGAAAACACCAAAAACAAAAAAGTCTAAAAAAAATCGGAATGCCTAAAAATCGAGGAATTGAAAAATCGTGTCCAAAAATCAAAGTCGAAAAACCAAACAATCGAGAATTTGGAAATTGCCAAGTCAAAAAATCAAAAAGTCCAAAACTCGCCAGAAAGAAATGTCGAAGAATCCAAAAATCAAACAGTCAAAAAGTCGAAAAATCGAAAATCCAAAAACAACAATTGGTAAATCAGAAAAACGAAGTCAAAATATCCAAAAAACCGAAATTGGAAATTCGAAAATTCAATAATTCAAAAAAACCAAAAATCCAAAATTCAAAAAGTGAGAACTCTAGTAATCAAATAGACGTAAAAACCAAAAATGGAAAAACGCCAAAATCTATGCAAAAAAGCCCAAAAATCTAGAATTTAGAGATTGCGAAGTCAAAAAATCGAAAATTCCAAAATAAAAAAATCAAAACCACGAAAAAACGGAAAGTCGAAAAATTCGAAAATCAAAAATCGCAAAAGCCAAAAAGTCGGAAATTTAAACGTGTAACAATTTATATATTATATGGATATAATAAAAAGGAACTCAAAAAATCCAAAAATCCAAGAATTGAAAAACAAAAAGTCGAAAATTAAAAAATAACAATGAAAATAAGAAAATAAATAAAAAATCGAAAAATAGAGGAATCGAATACTCGAAGAGTCTAGAAATCGAGAATTGAACAAACCCAAAAATAGGGAAATCAAAAAATGCAAAAACCGAAAATCAAATTATCCTAAAATCGGAAAGTACATAAATTCATAAATCGCAAAATCCAAAAAAAAATTTGAATAACTAAATTAAAAAAAACTTGACCCGATCTAACCCGACCTGACCTGTCCACACAGTGTTACTTCGCGGTAAACATGTTTCCAAATCCGCATATTTTGTGACGCCAAATCATCAAGAATGCCTCGATTACTACCAACATTAATCACCCGACATTTTCGTCACTATGGATAAAATACTGCTCCGAAAACAACAACTTGCACTCTTTGACGGACATTAATCGAATTCCCCATGAAAACCCAACGTTGCATCGATTTTTCTCAAAAATAAAAACTCCCGATAAACAAACGCCACTTCTGTCAATTACCGTATAATTAACACGTTAATGAAAAATCAATAAACCGAGAAAATGCCTGTAAATTTGACACCGCCACCATGAAACCGCAAACACCAAGTTTTCAAATTAAATTTCCGGTTTGAGCGCAGCGGGTAAACGAAAATTACAGCATTTAATTAAATTTTTGACGTGCTGTTAACCGCTTAATCCGAATCGAGTCCCCGAAAAAGTCAAATTATAACAGATCAAAATCAATCGTCTTCTGTGATAGAAACTAGTCCTTACCTTTCCGGAGCGGCGGTTTCCGGGGCCGAGTCCTCAGAAGGCATTTGAAAGCGACCACTCGAAATACTTTAATAAAGCTCGAAAAAGCGAATTTTTCTTCACTTTATAAATAATTGAAATTGCTTTCAGGATGATGGAATTTCTTGGCGGGGACCAGCAAACCTGTAAAATGAAATTAAATTTTATGTGGAGAATTTGCCACTTGTGCTTGGAGGAAAATTCATATTTTCTTAGCGGCTCTTGGGCTTAATCACTTTATTTTTTATTATTTGCGGGGAAAACGACTCTCTTGACATAAAGCGGGTTTAAAACGTTACGCCGTGTCAATTTCGGGTGATTTATTGCGAGATGATGAAGCAAGCTTTTTAATATCGGAGACTGGGTGATTCTAAAACAAAAACGGCGGCTGGTGGGTGCATACACCTGCTGGGTTTCGGGGGACGAGGTGGCGGCATCGAACTGAAATCAATCCTAACGACTGCGCCACTTTCGCTAACTAGTTAGAGTTGAATTTAATTTCGCGGTTGGTCTGTCTGTGGACTGATTGCTGTCAAATTTTGTGTGTTGGTAAAACAAAAACCAAAATTTAAATAATCACTCTCACCATCAATAGAATGACGTCATCCCCAAATTTACAATAATATATATTCTTTAATTATATAAAATAAGATACTCCTGCACTTGTGATCCATGAATCCGTATTGAGTTTTCACGCTAGTCATTCAGACTTTATTTTAACTTATAAGGATCATCATAAAAGAATATTTTACGAGGCTGATTTTTGATGTTTCAGTTTTTCGACTTTTCGATGTTTCAATTGCTCGATTTTTAGACTTTTGGATTTTTTTAATTTTTCGATTTTTAACTTCGATTTTTCGACTTTTCAATTTTTCGATTTTTAGACTTTTCGATTTGTCAACTTTTGAATTTTTTGACTTTTTTATTTCTCGACTTTTGAATTTTTAGATTTTTCGGTTGTTCGATTTTTCGCTTTTTTGATTTCTTAATTTTTCGACTATTTCGAATTCCTAATTTCTATGTTCTTGGATTTTTCGACATTCCGATATTTTTACTTGTTTTTTTTGTTTTCAGAATTTTCGATTTCTCGGCTTTCCTATTTTTGGACTTTTCGATTTTTCGATTAGCCTGTTTTTGGACTTTCCGATTTTTCGATTTCTCTATTTCTCAACTTTCCGATTTCTCGATTTTTACATTTCTCTACTTTTCGATTTTTCAGTTCTTCTATTCTTAGATTTCTCGATTTTTCTATTTTTGGATTTTTTGGATTTTCGATTCCTCGATTTTTTGATTTTTCGAATCTTCGATTTTTTACTTTTAGAATTCCAAATTGATTTTCACTCTCGATTTGGTAATTTTTGAATTTTTTGATTCTTCGATTTTTCGCTTTTCGAATTTTCAATTTTTGGATTTAAATTTTTTCACATTTCAATTTTAGATTTCTCGATTTTTAAACTTTTCAATTTGTCAATTTTTGCATCTTTTGTCTTTTTAATTTCTTGACATTTGAATGTTTTGACTTTTTGACTTTTCGGTTTTTCGATTTCTCTATTTTTCAACTATTTGAAATTTTTCCACATTTCGAGTTGGCCAGTTTTCGATTTTTCGACAAATCGATTTTTGGATATTACGATTTTGTTTTTTCCGATTTATCAGTTTTTGATCGAAAGTTTTAATTTAATTTTCGAATTTTCAAAAATTTCGATTTACAAATTTATTTTTGGGGTTTTGCATTTTTTGATGTTTCGATTTTTCGGTTTCTTTGTTTTTCGAGTATTCGATTTTAGATTTTTCAAATTTCCGATTATCCAATTTTTTGATTTTTCGTTCTTCCACATTTCGTCTTTCCAATTTTTTAGATCATATTCGATTTTCCGACTTCTCGATTTCTCAATTTTTGAATTGTTTCATTATTTGACTTTTCGATTTTTCGATTTCTCTGTTTTTGAGTTTCCGATTTTAGATTTTTCAAATTTCCGATTTTCCAATTTTTTGATTTTTCGTTCTTCCACATTTCGTCTTTCCAATTTTTTTGATCATATTCGATTTTCCGACTTTTCGATTTCTCAATTTTTGAATTGTTTCATTATTTGACATCTCGATTTTTCGATTTCTTCACTTTTCGACTTTTTGATTTTTCGACCATTTCGAATTCCTAATTTCTATGTTTTTGGATTTTTCGACATTCCGATGTTTTCACTTGTTTTTCTTTTTCGTTTTTAAAATTTTCGATTTCTCGGCTTTCCTATTATTGGATTTTTCGATTTTTTCACTTTCCGGTTCTTCGATTGGCTGATTTCTCGATTTTTACATTTCTCTACTTTTATTTTACGATCTCTCGATTTTTCTATTTTTGAATTTTTTGGACTTTTCGATTCCTCGATTTTTTGATTTTTCGAATCTTCGATTTTTTGACTTTTAGAATTTCAATTTGATTTTTCAGTCTCTCGATTTGGTAATTTTTGAATTTTTCGATTCTTCGATTTTTCGTTTTTCGAATTTTCAATTTTTGGATTTTAGTTTTTTTCACATTTCGATTTTAGATTTCTCGATTTTTAGACTTTTCGGTGTGTCCATTTTTGGATCTTTTGTCTTTTGAATATTTTGATTTTTTGTCTTTTTGGTTTTTCGATTTCACTATTTTTCGACTATTTGAAATTTTCGACATTTCGAGCTGGCTAGTTTCCGATTTTTCGACAAATCGATTTTTGGATATTTCGATTTATCAGTTTTTGAACTTACAAATCTTTAATTTTCAAATTTTCAAAAATTTCGATTTCTGTATTTTTGGAGTTTTGCATTTTTTGATGTTTCGTGTTTTCGGTTTCTTTGTTTTCCGCGTTTTCGATTTTAGACTTTCCAAATTTCCAATTTTCCAATTTTTTGATTCCACATTTCGACTTTCCAATTTTTTTGATCATATTCAATTTTCCGACTTTCCGATTTCTCAATTTTTGAATTTTTTCATTATTTGATTTTTCGATTTTTCGATTTCTCTGTTTTTGAGTTTTCGACTTTAGATTTTTCAAATTTTCGACTTTTCCGTATTTAAATTTTTCGACTTTGAAACTTTTCGACTTTTCAATTTTTGGATTTTTCAACTTTTCGATTTCTTTGATTTTCCATTTTTCGATTTTTAGAGACCAATTTTTCAAATTTTGGATATTTCGTCTTTTCCATTTTTGGTTTGTTCAACTTTTGACTTGGATTTTTCGATTTATTATTTTTTCGACATATCGATTTCTCGATTTTAGATTCTTCGAACTTCCCATTTTGTAATTTTTTGAGTTTTCGAATTTTTGACTTTTCGTTGTTCGAGAATTCGATTTTTCAATTTTTGGATTTTTGAAAATTTGGAAGTTTCATTTTTTCAATTTCTCGATTTTTCGTTTTACGACATTTCGATTTCTCGGTTTTTGGATTTTTACATTTTTCAAATTTTCGATTTTCGATTTTTGGATTTGTAGACTTTCCAGTTTTTTTATTTTTCGATTTTTCGCCTTTCCGATTTTTCGATTATATTCGATTTTTGACTTCCCGGTTTCTCAATTTTAGATTTTTCAACTTTCCAACTTTTCCATTTATTAATTTCTCGGTATTTAGACTTTTCGAATTTTTAATTTTTGAAAACACAAAAAGTTAAAAAATTTTGATTTTATAAATTTTTAGATTCTTTGTTTTTCCCATTTTTGGACTTTTCGACCTTCCAATTTTTTTTTGTTTTTCTGCTGTTCGATTTCTGGACATGAGATTTTTCTAATTTCCGACTTCCGAATTTTTAGCTTTCTCGATTTTTGGATTTTTCGAATTTCCCATTTGGGATTTTTCGACTTTTTGAATTTTTGATCTTTCGTTCTTCGACATTTCGACTTTGCAATTTTTGGATTTTTGAATATTTGGAATTTTCGGCTCTTCAATTTCTGAGTTTTTAGGCTTCAACTTTTCAATCTTCGGATTTTTTGACTTTTCGATTATAGATTTTTTAAAATTTCGACTTTCTGATATTTCAATTTCTCGAATTTTAAACTTTTAGAATTTTCCATGTTTGAATTTTTCGACTTTTAGATTTCTTTAATTTTCCATTTTTCGATTTTTAGATACCGATTTTTCAAATTTTGAATATTTCGTCTTATCTATTTTTGGTTTGTTCGATTTTCGACTTCGAATTTTCGATTCATTGTTTTTTCGAAATATCAATTCTTCGATTTTTAGATTTTTCGAACTTCCCATTTTGGAATTTTTTCACTTTTCGTTCTTCGACAACTCGATTTTTCAATTTTTGGATTTTTGAATATTTGGAATTTTCTATTTTTCAATTTCTCGGTACTTTAACTTCCCGAATTTTTCAACCTTCCGATTTTTCTATTTTTCTGCTTTTCGATTTCTAGACATTAGATTTTCTTATTTTTCGGCCTTCTTATTTTTGTTTGCGTTCTTCGACATTTTGATTTTTAAATTTTTGGATTTTTGAATATTTGGGATTTTCGGTTTTTCAATTTCTCGATTTGTAGGCTTCGACTTTTCAATCTTCGGATTTTCAACTTTTCGATTTCTCGATTTTTAGATTTTTCGAATTTCTTATTTTGGAATTTTTTAACTTTTCGAATTTTTGGCTTTTCGTTCTTCGAAATTTTCGTTTTTCAATTTTTAGATTTTTGAATATTAGGAATTTTCGGTTTTCAATTTCTCGATTTGTAGGCTTCGATATTTCAATCTTCGGATTTTCAACTTTTCGATTTCTCGATTTTTAGATTTTTCGAATTTCCTCTTTGGGATTTTTACATTTTTCAAATTTTCGACTTTTTGGCTTTTCGATTTCTAAACTTTTCAAATTTTCGACTTTCCCATATTTCAATTTCTCGACTTTTAAACTTTTCGACTTTTCAATTTTTCGATTTTTAGATATCGATTTTTTGAATAAATATTCAAAATTTGTCGTTTCCATTTTTGGTTTGTTCGATTTTTTAATTCGATTTATTGTTTTTTCGACATTCGATTTCTCGATTTTTAGATTTTTCGAATTTCTTATTTTGGAATTTTTTAACTTTCGATTTTTAGACTTTTCGTTCTTCGAAATTTTGATTTTTCAATTTTTAGATTTTTGGATATTTGGAATTTTCGGTTTTCGATTTCTCGATTTTCCG